TGGAAATGCCTGGCCTGGGAAACCAGGCCAGCAGCCATTCCTGTTCAGTAAGTGGAGTAATAGAGACCTGAGGGAGTTCTTGTGGTGCTACTGAGGACTCCAGGCACACTCCCAAAATTGTCCACTGCATCAGGACCAGAGTGAATGTTTGCCATTAGTCATTAGTGCAGTGGATTGGCTGGTCACCAGCTACATTAATTAGAAAATTTTCCCTCTGTGTTCCTCTAGAGGTAAAAATGCAGAGCTGGTCTCAAAAAAAAAGAGAGGAAAATACGTGTGAAAGCAACACCCTTCGAGGAGGGAAAGATGGACACTGGGAAGGACTCTTCTCTTGTAAAATTATCTACATCAGTAGGTGAGAATCACATTCTGTCACAATATATTTCAACAGATTTTGAAAGCTCAAAAGCTAAGGGCAGCTGAAGTAGAACAGATTATCACATCTCTGTGCATATAACAGATAATAAAAATATACAAAGCTGAACACATGCATTTAAAAAAAAAAAAAAAGGCAGTCTTTAGTACTCTCTGTGACAAAGCCAGACTAACTACTGCTCCTCTGTTATTTTCTTGTAGATGAATAGGAAGCATGAAACATCATTTTCCCATATTCCATATATGGGAATATATAATATCAAAATTGAGGCAGTGAAGCAGTAATATGGGGGATATGATCTCTGTCACTTTCTCAGAATCACAAGAAAACTGGAGAATTATAGATGGAAGAAAGATTTCATTTCTAGAAAACAGAAAATTCTAGAATTATGTCTCTCTACAGGTTTTGGTGCTGAGACACAAAGACCAAGCTGTACCTACTGGACAATTTCACAGGAACGGATTTTCCACGTGTATTATTCAGATAGGGGGTCAAACTATATTGTCAGAAGCAAAACCTTTGGCTCTAAAATCAATTATGGACATTTATGGAACTTATTTATACAAGGGAAGATTATGTAAGGGAAGTGAAAAATCAGAGATAAAAATTTTACATTTAATTTTTTTTTTAATGTCAGCAATGCTGTTCTTTGGTGATTCTAACAGACTTCAGTAGCAACAGATTTTCTGGTTTATGTGTATTTATAATTTCTCTTCATTTTTAAACCCAATTGTAGAAATTAAGTCAAGAATATGAACAAATCTCTTTCCCTTAATAAAGTGCACTTGTAAGTAGAATAATGATTTCAAAAAGGACAGTGAGATATACAGAGAGGGTCAAATCAGTGTTTCTTTTTGAATAGATGTATTAAAGGACAAGAACATTCTGTTATTATTTTCTAAAACGAGCTGCAGAGCCTCATGGAATATAAATGCTCAGCTTCTAAGAAACATCAAGATCTAGTAACTGAGAACGATACCAGCCCTGTTTCATTGCTGTAGATATTGTGATTCATTTTTCCTATTTATTTTAAATTTAATTTTTAAATGCAATTAAAATGTTTCCACCTGGTAGGGGAAAAATAATGAAGATCATAAAAATACAATTATTTAATGATATGCCTAGGAAAACAGAAAACTTGAGGAATAAACCAAGACTTCTGCACAACCCAGCTTCAGGGTCCTAACCCGAATGCCATCCTGAGGAAAGTAATCATTATATGCAAAGCAGTACCATTTATCACATTTGTAAAGGCGGAGAAACAATATCAAGCATTTGCAATTAACCCAACCCTTCAGCACGTTAAATGGGTCAGACTAATCATATTCCATAGCAACTTTACACTGTGAACACAAGCCCCATTTCTTCCCAGCGCCTGAGCAGAATTGCAGCTCCCTCCATGAAATGCAGAGCCATGCATGCAGGATCCAGCTCAGTTAACGTGGTGTGAACAGATTTACAACCTATACAATCTTACACAGACAGTCTGCAATTGAGAGCTAACATATGACAAAACATGAACTATCCTGCAAATGCATAACACAACAATGCCAGGAGCTGGCTCACAAGCTAAGAGAGCTGCCATGAGCTGTCTGTGATCTAGTCTTTGTATGAAAAACTTCAAGCACAAGCCCTCTGATAAGTCACAGAACAGGATGGGTTGCTCCGCATTAGGTGTCCAAGCATGGTTCCAGAGAAGCATGACTTGATTTTGAAGCTTGAAAGACTCTGTGATAAGCAGTGGAAAGAGACCAACTTTCAAACTAGGATTTTTCTTAGTGCATTTACGTCTAGCTACTCAATCTCATATTTGAGAAATTGCATGCCAGCTTGGCTATTTAAACTGCTGAGCATGCGGCAGCTTACATTTAGATTTACTGGAGGTGGTATGAACTACGTTTTCTGGAAAGTCAGGCTTTGGGTTTCCTCATGAGATACTTAGGAGACTAAACACTGTGTAAATGTTATGATTGTGGGATCTAGGCCTTCATTTTAGAGCACATACTGCCAAACAAATGGGAGAATTGGCATGGTTTTAAACAAAAAAAAAAAAAAAGTTTCCCAAATGTGAAGAACTAGAACTTCAGAAAATAGGAGGAGTCCAAAGGCAAGACTTCTCTGACTAGAGAGCTCACACTGATGTATCCCAACTATAACAGAGGCACTTTATAACTATGGAAAAAGCAGAACACAAATGAAAATAACATTCCATAGATTACTTTTAAAAAATAAGATTACTTTGGAATTTTAGAGTTAAAATTAATAAAACACTTCAAGCAATTACACTAAGAAACAAATTTCACAAAAAGACTCCAGTGGTAGAATGGCCATTTTTTGAAAGAGAGTAAACAAAGTAAATCACCAATTTGATTGGTTTCTCAGAATAATAAAGTACTGAAGCAGCACAGTACAGGATTTGCTGGGCAATTTTCTACACTGAAAGTGTCAATTCATTCCAAAGCTTAGCACTGATGGATAATATGGATTGGTATGGATTGCAGTGCTGCAACCATCTGAAAGGTCACTTGACAAACACAGCAGGAGTGACCCACTGTTCTTGCCATTGACAATCAGACTGCCATTTTAGCAAGTCTTTAAAGTATCACAAATCTTTACTTCAAGTATTAGATGGAAATGTTTATCTTTGTTTTGTGGCACAATTAAATGCTGGCATCTTCTTAGCATTTCATGGAGTTCAGTGCAGTAGTGCTAATACCTCCTTGGATCATGCTTGCAAAACATTAGAAGTTAATAGGGAACGTTTTCCCTCAAATGTCAGCTATAGCACTGAGCAGAATCACAGGATCATAGAATTATTTAGGTTGGAAAAGACTTCTAAGATCATTGAATCTAACTGTTAAACCAGCCCTGCCAAATCCACCACTAAATTGTGTCCCTAAGTGACACATGTACATGCCTCCAGCCACAGTGACTTCCCAGGGCACCCTGTTTTAAAGTTTGACAACCCTTTCTGTGAAGTTTTTCCTAACATGCAATTTGAACATCTTGTAGTGCAAGTTGAGGCTTTTCTCTCTGCAGAGCCTTCCTGCCCTTCAGAAGATCAACACTCCCTCCTAACTTGGTTTCCATCTGAAAACTGACTGAGGACACACTTGATCCCTTCACCCAGATCATCAATAAAGATATACAACAGAACTGAATTCAGTACTGGGCCCTGTTGAACACACTGGTGTCTGCCCAGAGTTACAACCATGGATGTGTCTCCATTCCCCACCACTCTCTGGTCCTGGCCATCCAGCCAGTTAAAAACCATTAAAAACGGTAAAGAAGGTAAATTATATTTGTGTATATGGACTCCTCTAGAACCAAGAATCTTTGGACAAATAACCTTCTTCAGCAAGTTTCAATGAATAATAACAGACATAATTCAGGGAAAACCCATCAGTGGGAGACTAGAAAGGAATAAATCCAGGTAACATGATACAGTGAAGAATCTCCAGGTTATGAACACTGAAATTCAGAATGTCTCCCATTTCACAGAGTTCTGGCAGTTCTAAACTTTACTGCATTTATGAGCCAAATAAGCCTGGATAGTCAAAGGAGATGGTGTCATCATGATACTCTATGGAATAAAGGAGTCTTCCAGATTGATATGAGTTAAAAGAGCTGGGGGAACTAGGGAAGTAGTGCTGAGCTGGGGAAAAACTGTCTTCTACTGCTTCACATAACATTCCTAGGCAGGAATGAAGAGGTGCAGTTAAAGAGGAATTCCACCAGTTTCTGGTCTGTTTCTAATGTCAGCCACATGCATTTCAATGCAACACAGTATAGTAAAAACAAGAATCCTCCTCAAGCCCATTGCTTCAATCCCATTAATAGGTTTAAGACAGTCAAAAGAATCAATACATCTAAAGAAATTTCTGCCTCAGTTTCTCTGTGATGCTAGACAGTGATTTGTAAGCTCATCCTAGAAATTCTAAGTTTCTTACAGAAGAGGAGTCAGGATCACTAATCAAACATAACACTATTCTACAGAGGGCAAAAGAATGTAAAAGTGCCGACATGGTTCTAAAATCCCAAATCCTGTAATGAACTGTGTATCATTAGGGGGCTAAAGTTACCTTTTTGAAAGTATAGTATTAAATGTCAAATTCATTAGTGGCATGACCTGAAAGCATTAGGTCTTTCTTTCCAAACTAGCTGCATATGTGATGTTTGGAGTCCTATGTAAGTTATTTTCAGATCAAAACAAAAACCACAGAGAAAATACTGTGCTGTGTTATTGTGTGTCATTTTTCTGAAAGAATGACTCAGGCATTGATATTTAGACTACTTTCAAGTCAAATATTTAAAGCTCTCATCCTAACCATAAGCACACTTACTGACATACTGGAAGGTCACTAGAACATGAGAAGATAGAGAGAGGTCTAAGCAAAAGACCTACAAATTTAATGTCTTCTAGAAGGGAGGAAAGGCAACTGTAAGAAAACAGAACTGTTTGCTTGTATTTTCATCAAAGTACTGAACAGGTTCCAAATAGTTTCAGATGTATTAAAAATCAGGCCTGTGGCATTTTCCTTTTGTACATTCATATTTCACTAGGTGCAATGACTTTATCTTTTCCCCAGTTAAAAATGCCATTCAAATTGGCTGTTGTACTTACTCTTTCACTGTCACAATATAGCCATATTCTTCCTCCTGAGAAGGTTTCACTTCAAGCTGTAAGCCTTGTCCTGTGTTTTTCTGAGGCTTTTCATAGGAGTTTCCTTCCTGCATTAAAGCATTCTTAATCCAGTAGCTGGTCTGGCTCAGGTCTTTGGAGTCAGATTCACTGTTCTTTGCAGGTGTCAGCTCCCTTGAGAAAGTCTCACTTTTTACATTTTCCACACCAGCATTTGTTTCTTCTGAGGAAGACGGGTCAGTTTCTTCAGATTTCTTAGTTTCTGTCTTTGTTGGTTCTTCAGGAATAACATCTTTATGTATCTTTTCAGCTAATGCATTCTCATTCAAGAATCTAATTAGCTTTGCAGTGTTCTCCTGTATTAAAAGAATAATATTATTTTTAAAACTAAACACAGGAAGGTTATACTCACCAAACCTGTATATAATTTTTTCAAATTCTTATTGATATGATAGAATATGCACATACAACTGTTTCATGGTCATTTTCTTAATTTCTATAAGCTGCTAGACTATGTTAAAAACATGCAGTTTATTCAGTAATAATAAAAGAGCATTAAATTATGCCACTATTTTTTCCAGTAGTTTCCAGTAGTTTCTAATGTGTCTGTGTGTCTAAGTATTGACAAAAATGAAATTTTTTTTATCAGGTAAGTCAATGAAAAGGAGAAAACAGAAATGTCTATCAGTATTCCTGGGTTGGGCCCAGAAACTTTCGTAACTCTTGGGTCTCACAAGTTATAACACCAGAAAAGGAAAAGATATGGCCAATTCTGTTTCCCTTCTTCATCTCTAGAAATGGTGACAAACTGTATGTGAGTGATCCAACAAGCTAAAAATATGATCACAGAAAACCAGAATCTGTCTAATAAATCAACAATAAGCAAACGAGCCAAAGTCAAAACAGGAGCCTGGAAAAATTCATTAGCTAGTTTCATTACATAACTTTATTGCAGCCAAGCATTTGGGAGGAAATGAGGGCTAATGGGCACTTTGTGCTCTGTGACATAATAAATTCTATTCAAACATTCCCTATTCAAACTGTCACTAAGAAATTTATACACGGGATCCTCTATAAGTCTGTTGTGACTACAGCACTTCATTCCTTGATGATTTTCATGTGGGTGTTTAAAGCTCCTGCCACTCTGTCTATGTGTGTTTCCTTTGCTTGGTACAAGGACCAAAGAGATTACTGTAAACACAAGAGGATTTGCCCGTTTATGAGTCTTGCAGTATTAGCTTTTGATAAAGTACATAGCAGGAGAAGTTTCACACAGTTTTTAAAAAATATTTCTTTGAAATTTTTCTGCTCCATGAAACTGAGAAAAAGAAAGATGAATATACCTCAGAAATGGCTAAATATTGGACAGCAGTCCATAGGATATGATTCAAAGCTCAGGAGGAATATTGTAAAAGTAATCTGGATTAAAATGCTAATTTTGATGTTACTAGTTAGGGTACGAGATGTAATGCCTAGAGCTTTTGAAAAACCTGATGTTCCCCAGAACTAAGAGCCAGAGGACAGGGGGAAAAAGCATTTTCAGGGGAGAAAGCATTTTCAAGAACACCTCAATGCTCAAAATCTACTGATTTGAGGAAAAGCCTGAATTTGTCTGAACTTTCTGAATCTATGATGAATTCTCTCTATTTAAAAATTAGAGAAAGGGGGTATAAAGGACTTGATTTTGATTTTTGAACATCAAAACCCATTTTGGTTAAGGTTTAAATAAATGCTCATTTAATATTTCAATGCATAAACAACAACACATCTATGTGTGGTATTGAATCATAGCCACACAAAACTTAGAACAAGTCTTATAATTCAGAAGTGAGTTTGTTTTTCACTGCACAGAAACCTGACATTCTGAGATGGAACACTTGTTTTGTTAAAATACTGGTACTCTACTGGTACTCTACCTCTTTATCGCTTCTCACACTGGCTTCGTGCACTCCATTGTCTGTAGGATACGAAAAGCACAAATATATAGTTATGAAGGGCAAACATCATATACAAAACAAAGACTTCTCATAGGCTGCTTTTTTAGCAGTGGTCTTTTTATGTGATTTAAACATTGAGACATCAAAGCTGAAAGGGCAGAGAAAGGAGCACTGCATAATTTGTTATTGTTATTCCAACCCCCCTTTGATAGCAAATTAATGTGAGATCAATAGACAGAGTACTTCAAGAGCCAATGTAATAGTGTTACTTCGCTAATTAAGTGTCAAGTCATCATATTAGTTTACCAATATCTGAGAAAAAAAAAAAAAAAACCCAGAATAAAATGGCTCTAGCTTGCTGAATGGACATTTATGGTAAAGGAAATGGAAACATATGTTTCCCTCATAGCTACTTTGGTGGAAGAAAATGACATACTTCAAAAGATATCATTCACCAAAATCATGTTACAGTTTAACTACAGTCACATCCTTAACCTCAGTCAAATAACACTGGCTTTTTGCTTTACGAACTGAATGCCATTCATCTTTCTCAGCATGATTCAAGATAAATCCTCAAGTTTGCTGATTTTAATCTATAACAAAATTTGGCAATCAGAATAAACAGAATATCCCTAACTAGTAAGGATTTCAGTATGTCACCATGAAAACACTGAAAATAATTTTTTATGACTTACAGTACACATTTCTGGCATACAAGATATTATAACATTCCTAAAATAGTAAAGGATGAGCAGTAACTTATGTTCCAATGTGATATTCACTCATTAATGGCAATTACTGTGGCTCCTGAATTTGCATCACCAGATTTCTGTGTGCAGACAGAAACAACCATAATAATTCATCTTATTCCCTAAGAAGGAAAGGGAACAAGTGGGTTTGTACCTATACTTGTCACAGATTTTCTTCTGCACGTAACTGTAGCATGTTAAAAAAATTATCTGTAAAACATATCTTTTTCTCTGCATATTTGGAAATACATCTTGCAATATATTAATTTCCATTATCATTTTGCTTAAACATCTCATTTTCAAGAATAGGAAATTAGACCACACAGCATAAAGCAATTCTTATTTCAATATAATTGGGTGGGTAGGTTTATCTTGTTTGTGAAGCTTGAAGACTGCTTGTTCATAAACAGATTTTTTTTTTTTTTTGGTAAATTAAGAAACTGCTGTAAAAAGAAAACACAATCTAAAATTCCACAGCCTTTCAGGAAATACAGAAGCTTCAGAAACTTTCCCTCACATCTTCTTTAAAACTGGTTTTTAGAAGTCCAACACTAAGGTGAAGCAATAGAGGAAAATCAGGGTAGTTGTCTTTTGCTGTACTTAACTTCTAAAATAAATACCTGGTATATTAACACTGTTTTCCATTAATCCAGTCTGAAGCTCTGCCCTTCCTTGAGCATCTGCTTTCTTCACTTGTGCTTCTGTTTTGTCTTCTTTACTTTTTCCAGCATTTTTTTCTGTTTCTTCCTGAATGTCAACACTTTGGATTGCAGTGGCAATAGTATCAGCGATTTCATCCAGTTCTGTTGAGCTGAGATTCTCCACATTCACTTGGTGTTTCTCTAGGTCCTTCAATACATTTTTAATCAGTGCCTCTGGATCAGAAAACAACATAATCACATTTATCTGCATACATGAAACACATGTGCTTATATCTTCAATTTTTCCTGAAAAATTTAGATAGCTTTCCCTTCATGGCAAGTATCTGCTTTTTAAAGGAAGGTGCTGCATTCCTTACAGAAAACACAGGATTCTTAGTGGATGTTAAAGTATATGATAAGGTGAATCTGTGCCAGAACAGGGGGATGTGAGAGAGGGCATGAAATTATCACTTTTTTTTTTTACAAGAAGAACATACTTTCCTAGTCTAAATTGACTCAAAATACTGAAAACAAGTGTTAAAGTAGCCTAATTTCTTTTTTTTTTTAGCTGCAAAACAGTACAAACAACATTACTGTTTCCTAGTGATCAGTTCTCTTTGGTGATTTGCTTTCACAAGTATATCTATATAAGCTATAGAGAGTTCTGAGAAAAAAATGAGTCAGATATTTTGTCTTTCAATCAAAAAGCTCCTCGTCAATTAGAAGGGGATATAAATATATGTCCATGATATACATGGATATGTCAAGGACAAAATTTCTAAATTGTATTAATCTCTTGAAACATATATCGATGATAGAGATAGATGTAGATATAGATGATATAGAGGTATACAGAAGTTGTTTTGGTTTGCCAGCTATGAATGTTTTACCAGTCACATTGAGAAAAAAAACAAAACCAAACAGCAAAACACCTTTGATGTGATAAAAGTTTTGAAGATAAGGAAATTCAAGGACAATGGATATTAAAGGTGAGTCAGAAGATGGAGCAAAACATCTCCCCTGGGAAGGCACTTTTCTGACTGCATATATTGCATCTACACTATCAGTCTGTAGAACTCTGCAAAACTCAGCCTAATGTCCCTTGGAGTATCAGACAGTAAATGTAGTGCTTACTGTAGTCCACCAAAACCATTTCCAATCATGCCTCTGTTCTGCTTATTCATGTTGATAAGAAATTTAACATATTTATACATATGCATGCAAGCAAGAAAACTCTTTCACATAGTATTGTGTAGGAAGAGGAAAATAAGGAGTTCTTTTAAATCTCTGTTGAATGTATGAATTTACATATAAGCAGTTTGAAGGTGCCATCCAAACTTTTTTCTCAATAGTAACACTATCCATATCAAGCCCAGCGGTTGGACAACTTCATCATCTGAAATCAAGACTTTGGGATCATGCTGTCAGCTTTCAGGCTCACATAAAAGTGAATTTAAAAGCAGGGAAACAGGGAAAACCAATGTCATAAGAAGGGCTAAAAATAAGGATTTTTCTTTTTCCTCACAAGAAAGGAGGAAGAAGTACATAGACTAGAAAAGAAGTTAAAGTGGTTAACAGACTTCTGCTTCAGGGAAGAGGCAGTGTAACATCTGTGATTTTGCAGGGAGACAAGCATCAAGGACTATTTTTCATTAGGAATAAGAGACCAAGACCTTGGACACATCTGCGAGTTTTTGGACCCCTCAGTTTTAACTGAAGAGCTCACCATCAGCATCTCACCATGAGATTCCCAATTCCATCTCAAGACAAAGACCAATTTCCCCTGACCTGACCCAAAATTCACCAAACAAAACAATGCCATTTTCCCTTAACTAATTAGTCCATAAAAAGCAAAAGAGCTTAAACAGCTTAAATAATAGATTTACTGCGAGTCTTAGGGGGTGTTGACATACAGGGAAGGTGTTTCTTTGATGTACTTTCTTTTCAAGGTAAAAAGGGAACATCTTTCCAATAATCCACCATGATGTTATTACAAAATTCTACTAATTTAATTATAAAATTCAGTGATATAAAATACAAGCTAATCTTGCAAAATGTTAACTTTTTAGATGTCGTTTAGAAAGCATAGTTATAAGTACACTTAATTGTGACTATCAATAAAAAAAGACAGGTTATGTCTGTGATGTTACTTCAAACTGCCAGCTGACAAAGATTTTGGTACCATACTGGAATAGCAGAGAGCTTTGTACAGGAAAGCAAGTGCTCAGAAATGTGAATCAAAGATGTAAACTCAGTCTGTGCCAAGACATGTGGAGGCAGCAAAACCAATACTGAAGTTTGATGGAAGCTTAGCAACACTTCAGAGAAAACTTAGAAAAGTTTCTTTCCATTTAATTGTATCCACCCCTGTTACGAATTTAATAATTTAGTAAAAGCATAGTGACAAAATGCCTTAGTTTAGGAAGGCAATTTACAAGAGCAAATTAATCCAAACTGCAACAAAATGTTTAAATACATTAGATGAACCTGAGTTCAAGACACTTTTTCAAGAAGCACAAGAGCTACCTGGCAGAGAGGTGGAAATGCTACACAGAGCAGCAGCGCAGAAAACTAAGCTGTAGGAAGAAAACAGTACTGTTGCTTTACCACAGGAGCCTTGTGTCTGCTTAGGTATCATTTCTGATCTTATCTTTTACAGAACTATTGGACAATATCTTGACAGAAAAGCCTAAATTATTGAAGCAGAGCTAACAAAGTCAGCAATGAAAGGATAGAATATATGTCAGATCCAAATCAAAACTAAAACTTTACAAATAAAACATCATTTGAAGACAAATCTTAAAAGAGAATTATATTTCAGGACATATATAATTAAAAGAGTTATATTAATGTAACACAACTAGATTTTTGTTTATTTCATTTGATTCACAGCCAGCTGTCAAGACCAACTACTGAGCTACTCAACAACATGCAGGCAATGTAGCTTTGTCATTTCCATTCCATTTTTTCCAAACTAACTTTTTTTCTTTACCTATATTCTTAGCCCAGTCTTATCTCTCCAGTCCATTTTCCGACACATCTTTAATATCCATTGTCAACAAAAAAAGCAGTCTTAATTTCAAACAAATGGGAATGGGAGAACAAGGAATAACATGAAAAAAGAATGGCCACAGGCCCTATTCCTGATAATACTGACAGGCTCAGCGGAGGTTCTTCTGGCTCACTAAAACCTCAATATCATATAGAGGAACCTCCTGCTCCTCTAATACTGGCATTCCTGCCCTGGTCATTGCCACCTGGGCCCATTTCATCAAACAGACTCCTAAATACTGCACTGACACGAGTAAAACTCTGGCATTATATCTACTTTTACTGAATAGCTACAATGTGACTTAAAATATCCGGCACCAAAGGCAATAACCAATGCCAGTAAGTAGGAGGAACATCATGTTTTTAGTACCCCAGGAGGGACAGTCACCAAAGTGTCTGTAACAGCCTGGTGAAATGCAGGTCTTCATAAAGAGTCTTGCTAAATTCACGTGGCTACTGATATGGTATTAATCCTTGTCCATGGTAAATATGGATATTTACACTTCTTTTTATGGCACTTGTCCATGTTTGCAATAATTTGTAAATTACTAGATAACACTGATAAACAGATAAATATCATTGCATCTGTTTACAAACACCTTTGGGTAATATGATGTATTTATTAAAATCAGAAAATATTGTTGGAGAAAGACCAAAAAGCAGATGGATATTGCAATGGCACAGCACTTAAGCAGCACATGTACTTGAACATGCATTTACCTGTGCACAGCTTTTATAGTCTACCACTGACTCCCTCCTAAATGGACTCAGCAATGCTCAGTCATGTTTCACAGGGCTTGCAAACTGCAAACCAGATTTCTCCCTTAGCTCCAGCTTTCCAACTGATGAATGCAAACTGCTTTTCATAGTTACCTTGGAAGCATAATGGCAGTAAAAGCATAAAGGTCCTAGAAGATATAATTTTTAATATAAGCTCCACCAGTAGAATTCCCTAGTAGGTAACAATAGCACCTTATACAGGGAAAACAGCTTTTTATTTTACAGCATATAAATGATGCCTCATATTCTGCTGGCACAAGAGTCAAAGCCAGCTTGCCTGACAACCACATGGTATGGGAGCAGTGACTTTGTTAGAAATTCCACAGTGTGGTCTGTCTTCCTGAACCCCATCACCCTACTGACCACATGTTAGCTGCCTCAGCAGCTGAGCACCATATGTAATGGTGATCCCAGCTTTGCCAGAGAGAGAATGTATTAAAAAAAATATTTTTGTCCCATAAACATGGAAGTTTGCTATTTTTTAAAGACATCTGAATTACTAATTCTGTGACCTTTTCAAAGGAACAGAGAGATGTACTCTGTAATATTTAATACATAAAAAAATCAGTAGACTAGAACAAACCACACAAAACTGAGCCAAATTCTAAATATGGCTGGTGCAGAGGAGAGATTAACAATTCCAGTGTTGCACAGTGACTACAAAGGCAGTGCCCACGCACATCATGCTACTCCTAGAGGTAACAATTTCCAAATCTGATAGAAAAATAACTCCGCATTTCCTTCTTTTGTATTTCTCCCTCAGGGTGCCTTGTTAGAGAATTTACCTGCCACTGTTTTGCAGCAATTCTCAGTACTAATCTGCTCAGTACCTTCTGGATTGTTCTACCAGTTCAGTGCCTCTGTCTAATCCTCTATCAGATGGATCAGAGAACTGAGCACCCCATCCTTCCAGTTTTTTTACAGTTCTGTAGTTCACAGAGTGCAAGAGAAAAACAATCCACAAGCCTACAATAATCCATAAACACAAGAGAGATTGGAGAAAGGTGAAAAGCAGAAAGAGGTTGTGTGGTCAGCCTGGGAAACCTGAATCTAAACCACCTTCATTCCAATGGACAGCATTTTAAGCAATGAATATGCCAGTGTCTGTCCTCACCACTTTCTTGTGAGATTATTAAGTGGCTCAAAAATACAAAGGAAACCACAGTATTTCCTGCTCAAACAATTCATAATGCCTTGTCTATGCAACATTTAAAAGAAAATGCAATGGCAGAAGTTCCTATAGGGCACATTATGTATGAGAAGTCAAAGTAGTACAACCCAACGAATTGTGAAACATGTTATTCCCTGTAAGTGTTAAGCATTTTTTTCCCAGTTGGCTCCTACCAGGAAAGGTGAAGTGGAACAGCTGGAGGATAATGAAACCAGCATGTGCCTGGTTTGTTTTGAGTCTAGCAACAAAATTGTCTAACCTGTGCAAGAGACTTACAGTGCCACCTGGATTTGATTTTACATTATAGTTCATTCCTTGAAACCTATTATCTCTGGGCACCATACCAAGAATGCTTTCACTTCTGAGCATCCTTTAGACGGCAAGCATTATCTTCCCTCTGCTGAAACTCTGACGTTTCTGTGTGTTTGTGTGTTCTGGTTTTGGAGGATATTATTAAAAAAACAAAAAAAACAAATCAAAGAACATTGGACTTTATGGGTGATGAAGAGGGATTCAAAGGAACCCTCTCACATATCACCAAAATCCATTGGGGTAGAGGTGATTGCAGTGTAACAGATACAAGTGCTTGACAATGGCTGGGGATCAACTCTTTCATTTTTCAGGCATTCTGAACCACTGGAATAACATGGATAATTAGATTAGTTTAAAGAAACAACAAAATTAATCAGAGTTATAAAGTCTCCATGATCCCCAAGACGCATCTTATAAAACAGTGCTTTAAGTGCAGCACAGCATGAGGATTTTAATTTAAATATTTGTTGAACTATCACGTAAAGAAAAAACTGAGATCCAATCATTGTTAAACAACATTATCAAAAAAAGATGAAAATCCAGGAAATGGGTTTTCTGTTACAGAATGTCCAGACAAAACAAGATGCAACCCCACCTTCTTGTTCACCTATCCATGGAACTGACAGACTCCTCCTTTCTCTGTGTTCTGCACCAGAATTAATCTCACTGTTAATTTTTGTGCTTAACTTTGAATTTTACCCATGTCCTTGAATTTCTAGTTAAATAAAGAGATGTGGAAAAAAACCCCAGGCATTTCTGTATTATCTATATATATAGCATAGGATGAATGCATAAAAACAGATTTGATAGCGAAGATATACCCATAATTATGCGTTGTTTGTAAAATGCTTTGAAAATATAACAAATTACATAAATGCTATGTCTTACTAAGTGCCATATATTTCTGCATGCATATGGAAGGTGGGCTGAAGAATGTGGGTAGATGTTTGCAGGGAAAGAGTAGCTGGAATGGTGAACATTATTACTGTCTTATGGCAGATATAAATATTGCCAATACTAGGAGATCTATCAAATGCCTATTTTCTTTTCCTCAAAAATGTTCAGTAAACATGAGGGAAATTTCAGGTAAGCAAAAATAAGTAAATATCAACTTTACCATCCACAATGCTCAGAGGGTCCTTTGCATCATGCTGGGAAGCAGATTTATGACTCAGCATCTCAGGGGTTGGCCTCAGCACTCCAGGCCCAGGCCTCGGCTGCAACAGCTTCCGCATTTTGAAATCTTCCGCTTTTCCTTTGGCAAAAGTTCCATCAAAAGGACTGACCTGCGTAGAGTACAATCTCTCAGCATAAACCTGAGAGCCTTTAGTCCTGCTGGGAGGGCTGCTGTCGCTGCTGTGTGCAGACAGGTTCTGGGTGATGTAGGAGTGCAGCGCGGCCATCAGGCTCTTCTGGGCCGTTCCCGGCTCTGGCGGGAGCTTGTCTGGCTGGCGCTGGCGGAGCGTCCTGCCACGGGGATCCTCAGGGAATTCCTGCTGCCATTTGGATGCATGGGCCAAAGGTGATGGCTCTTTGGGGTTCTGCCTCGTGTAGTACCTCGTGGGGTCATTGTAGATGTAGCTCTAGAGAGAGCAGAAGGTGGGCAAAAGGAAAGGGGTCAGAATTGCTTTGTAATTGTTGTTGTGCCGGGATCTGAGGCAGAACCCTCAGTGCTTTACCAGCCAGGGAAACAATAATTGGAACTTGCCATGAAAATGTAAACTGCAAACCTCAAACTGTTAACTTCAAAGAGGCACTACTACTTAATGTGCAAAAATCCAGTTTATCAAATTATTAAAAAGCAAGAGCAAGAGATTAGGGAGAGAATAACATAACTCAGTATTAACTATGTGTGAATTATTTGTATTCAGACAAAGGAAATTTAATAAATCTACATTCCCTTTGGTTTTTACTTAACCTGTGAGAATAACTATTTTTCAGGTTACTTACCAAAAACTAGCATGTCAAATTAAAAATGTCATTTTTAAAGGAACAGCAAGTAAGTAAAGCAATTTTTTCACACATATTAAGTACTTTGTTCTATTTTAAATGAAATACTTTTCCACTAAATTAAATCTCTAATAAATATATCATCTGACAATGTGGAAAAAAAGTATAAACGACGTTTAAATTGTTTTTAAATTAAATTATTATTTTCAGGGAAAACACCACAGCAAATTAAACAACAATGTTAAAAACATGTCAATCAAGCTCAAACCACATTTTTACTGAAAAAGTGCTGGGGAATAAAAAGTGGAAAGGTGGGATTGCAGCACAGTTTTCTATTTTCAGTTTCTATTCTCATGGATACACCAGATTGACATTCTTTTTTACTATGATTTAATCCTAGAGACATTTTTGCTATAATCACAACCTGAAGGCAGGCCTTTTCATTTTTTAGCAAACCAGTTTCATTCTCCTAAATAATTTCAAAAATCATTTTCCTTCAGTTCTTGCAAAATACAACTTTGAACTGAGAGGTTTACTCATATCCAGAATAAATCCAGTTAGATTCTTGGTTTATGATTCCCTGAGGACAATTGCTGAGGTTACATCCCATCCTGTTTGTGTGCTGCAGGATGGGTCCTGCTTCTCAGCTGCACTTTCTTGGTTAAACTGTCACACAAACTCCATCACAATGTGGCAACCTTAGGACAGGGACTATTTCAGCACTCACTGCTATAAATTACTGTGAATCACTGGTGTCCCTGTGCACTGATGACACAATGACTTAGGACAGAGGGAGCTGCAAAATACGGAGGGAATGAAGACACTGTACACTCCAGAGGAGAGGAATTAGAAAGATTCAGACAGAAAAAATCATTATTTATGTATTTGCTAATGTATTTTGTAAAAACAAAATAAATAAGACTGATAAACTCCTTCAGAGATGAAGAATTGTTTTCAGATTTTATCTAGGTCCTAATTTCTTGACAGTAATATTGCTCTCCATCTGAACAATTTTATTTCTTCTGATGACAGCCAGTGGATTTTACAATACATGTTCATACCCATTTCTTTCCAAGAGGGGTTTCTTCCCCTTTAGAAATTATTGAAGAGGTTCATTCCATGGTTCTATATGATTATTTAAATAGAATTATGGTATAGGCAATTTTATTACAGAGACAAAAGGCACTTTGGCCACTTTGGCTTGTGACCTATCAAGGCAAGGCTTTGGATTTCTGCAGTTGGTCTTTAACATAGAAACGTGCTTTGTGAAAGCCAAGAAATTTGGCTGCAGTGAAGCAGTGTCAAAAAATACAGAGCTACAGATCAAATAGCTTTATGTATGAAATATTTCAGTGTCTCCTGGGAACTGTATCAAACAGCAGCAGTGCAGCTCTGGTTCAGTGCTCCAGCTGCAGGGTAGGCATTGCTCTGATCAGCTCCAAGGGGGAGCCAATTGTCAAAATGCAACTTGAACAGTGTTTACATGCTTAATAGCAAAGCCTAAATGTGAAGAACTTCCAGTCAGATGCATTTATCTCCCTATTTGAACGGGTCTTTGCCTGGGGTAATTAAGTCTCTAATGATACTCACTCCAGAGGGAGGAGGAGCTGCAGAGGATGACACAGTGCAGCCCAGGACACCCCAAGCAGTTCACTGAGAATTCACATAAGCTGCCATCTGCCTTCCCCACTCCTGTTCTCTCTGCCTTGCAGCCTTCCAGAGGACCTCCTGAGCTCAAGGGAAGGAAGACCAGGGAGCTGGGAAAGGGAGAAATGCAACAGGGGGAAGAGGACATTCCCCATTCAGCTATGGAAAGACAAGGAATCACTCAATCCAACTTGGTAGCTGCACCCCAGTTTGGATCTATGTCCCATATCCAGCTCTCTCTTTTGTCTCAAGCTTTACTAGTAAGTGTTAGAGGGGAAGAAACTGCTGGACACTCCCAAACCATGTGAAAGATTAGGAGATGTGGGCTGGCTTCTGATGAGCTATTTAACAAGTCCAAATACCCTTTAGCATGAACAGATCTGTGATTTACTGTTCTTGCAGACAAGGAGCACACCAACAAAGAAAAGACCACCAACCCACCAAGTGATCATGCACAAACTGGATTTAAGTGTGTGCCACTCCTGGGCTCAGAGCTGCACCTCTGTCAGGAAGGGGCAGCCACTCAGCAGCTTGACAGGTCACACTTTGGGCAGTAAGAGATGAAATATTAAAAGTTCTAATTAAAGCAGAGCACTGATAGCTCAGCTGTCTTCACTGAGACAGCAGCCCTTCTGATGCAGTTTACTCAGACTTTAATTAAAGGGGTCTCACAGCTGTATGGCAATCTCCCACCTGCAGGAGAAAAAAAACCCCTTCCTGCTGCTCCCATCTCAAACAAAACACCAGAAGTACATGTGACATGCAAGACGAAATCCAAGTAAAATTGCAGCACAGATAAATGCAATCCTAAACTATGGGTTTGCCTAAGTGGTATGGGAAAAAACGCACCTAATTTTTACACAAAAATATAGAAAAAAATATCAATAATATGTAATTTAGAATCCAGAGACAACATACATCTCAAGTTATTAATAACAATTGCAGAGCACTGTGATTATCTTATTTGAAGTGGGTTTTGCAAAACCCACTCCTGAACATGGACATTGCTAGTTTGATTAATGTCAAAGTTAAATAGCATAGTCTGTGGTTAGTGAAAAGAACGTAAATTCCCATATTGGTGCCTTTGGAGAATCTTCTAACATTATGGAGGAGCAGAGGGAAACACAGAGCCAGAAATTTTTGAAAGAAAATACATTTGCGGATTAATTACACAGGACTCATATGAAGTACTGCCAGTAATAGAACAAAAAACCCCACCCCAAGACAACATTAAGTGAAATGTGCAAGAATAAAAAATGCACTAGTTACCATATAGATGGTTTATACTGAGTAGGGTTGAAATACAAGCACTGGTTACCATGAGGAACATTTCATTTTTAATTGGTAAAACTCTGTTCAATTATCTCATGTCACTGATACAAAGCCTTTGAAAAGTATTCTGAATTGATAAACCCCTCAGTTTAAAAACAAATCTTATTTCTCCATCTGCACAGGACTTCCCTCTCCTTCACCACCTTTCAAATAAGCTATCTCAATAATTCACACGTTACAAAGAATCCACACACACTAACCTTTCTGAAGATGGAATTGTTAGGGCAATAGCTTGTATAGTTTAGGTATGTAACTAACTGACATTTTCTGCATGAAAATTCACAGAAGGGTGCATTAAATTACACTCTGCAGACACACTATGCCAAAGTCTATAAACAACATGTCTTATTAAAAAAAATACAAATTAAAAGAGTGGTGCAGGATTTGATACATAAAACATAATGCCCTTCAATTTATCCACTAACGGGTAGATTGACTTGCATGTTTTGCCCACGTGCAGAAAGATGGAATCAAATTTTTAACAAAATGCTTCCTTTATTGCACATACATTTGCTACATCTAGAAGGCATATAGAGCTAGCAAAAATGAAATGCATAATGAAGAAATCTTCTACCCTCAATTTATGTTTTCCTGTTTGATGCATTTGCAGATATTAACCCATGTTTGTTACCACCTATGTTTGGTTGAAGCATGATTCCACCTACAACTCTTACCTTACTGTGCCTATTTGAGATATTGGCATTATGGTCTCTGAAATTAGAAGATAAAATCACAACAAACACTCAAAGGTCCATCTTTATGGTGGGATAAAAACAACATTTTCCAAAGACTACCAGAAATTAAATTACCTCATACCTTAACTCACTGTGTGGAGTGAAAGAAATTTAGTTTTTTCTACCTGACACAGTCTAGATGCTCTGTGACTCACAGACTTGCCTCATGCAAACTCACTACATGGGAGCTACCTGTTGTACTCATGTGACCTCCCAAAATAAGCCCCAGGAAAAGGGGCACTGCCTGATTGCTGAATCAAAGAGTAGCCTTTTAGTTTCAGATGTCCCTTTTAGTTTCAGATGTCCCCAGCCATTCTTTGGAATGATCATATCCACTTGCCTACCCTTCAACTATCCACAACAGAGTCTCCTACATGGATAATTTTTATCATCAATATCATCAGTAACTTACTGCCTTCAGTTTTCACAACTGCTGTTTTTTCTCTTTACTTCTGACACACCTCTATCCTGTGGGTTAAAACAACGTTTCCAATTGTGTAGGAGGAGTTGTGCGTGGTCTTTCCTCAGCATTCACAATTGGCTCATCATAAACAAAAAAAGCTCAGTTCTACACATTGGGATACATGGCTTGTCTCTACACATAAAAGATAAAGCACCTGGGAGAAATGAAGCGTGGATGACCCCCAATAACCTGATTGATGGCAAGGAACTCCTGCCCTGGCTCCATCCGGGGCCATCACAGTGAGCCATCAGCCATCATGTCCAGGAGTGCCCCCCACCAGACGGTTGATGGGAAAAGCGCTCTGGATCACCCTGCAGACTGAAAGGGGTTAATGTTTGCAGGGGTGTGGGACTCCTTAAGAGATGTGAGGCTCCTTCTGGGTGCCATCTTGTCATTGTCTGAGGCACACTATGGGAAGTTTAGGAAAAAGGAATAGTCTGGAATGGCAGCATGTAAG